ATGTGTCTGTGTGTGTGTGTGTGTGTGTCCCTGTCCCCTCGCTGGGCTGGGGACAGTGGGGCACCAGGGCAGGGGGTCAGGGCATCCCCCACCCTCCAAGTCCTGCCCACGGGGTTTGGATCGTGGAGATTGCCCCAGTTTGAGCACTTACGTTTTTATGAGCTGCTTGGCGTTCTGTGGAGAGAGAGAGAAGGGGAAGGAGAGGAGGAGAAGAGGGAGGAGAAGGAGGTGAGCGAAGCCACAGCAGCCACCAGGTCGTGCCCAGCAGTGGGAGCCCCAGGGGGGAGGGGGCAGCTTTGGGGGTCTCACCATGAGGAAGGCGGCTCCCCCCGTCTCCTCGGCTGCCTGGATGGCTGTCTCCACCAACCGGCTCGACTTCTCAAGCTGCTCCTTGTACTGGCAGATGAGGCTCTGGATGAAGGCGGTCTTGTCCGCCTGCTCCTGGGAGATGCGCTGCAGCAGCTCCGCCTTCTTCTCCTCCAGCAGCGCTGCCAGGGCGTCAAAGCGAGCGCAGAGCTCCCTCTTGGCCGCCTCGCTGTTCTCCTGCGGGGACAAGGGACAAGCGATGCCACCTCTGTGTCCCCCCGGCGCCTGCAGCACCCCAAGGCTTCTCTGCCCCATGGCCATGCCCGGCTCAGGGTTCACCCCCGGGTTTTCGGGGGTCTCCTTTTCCCCCTTTCCTCACCTCGGTGCTCTGGCAGGAGTCCTCCAGCTGGGAGATGATGGTCTGGATCCGATCATTCCCCGCCACGAGCATGGAGATGCAGTTGTTCAGCTCAGTCTGGTGGGGGACACAGAGAAGTTTTATTTAACTCGTGTGGAGACAGGAACTTCTCCCATCCCAACACGGGGACGGGCTGGGCATTGCTCATCCCCAGCTCTAGCTCCCCCTCATCCCTCACCAGCTCTAAATATAGCCTGTCTCCTGGGCAGTCACCCGGGGCTATTAATACCCCGTGAGCAGTGCCGCTGTTATTTGTGACTGTCCTGTGTCCCCCGCAGCCCCCCCGGGTCCCCCCCTCCACGGCACCTTCTGGCCCTGGAAGACGCTTTCCAGAGGGGCCACCTCGCAGTCCTTGTGGGCACCGAAGACTTTGCACATGGAGCAGGTGGGGACCTCGCAGGTGACGCAGTAGATGTTGATCCGCTCGTCCTCGTGCTCCTTGCACTTGGGGTGCTCCCCCTTTTTCAGTGGCCTGCTGGAGAGGATGGCACGGCCATGGTCACACCATGGTGACATCCACACCAGGGTGATGTCCCCGCTGCAGGGACACCCCTGCCACCGCGGTGACACCCCCACCGCCACCCCAAAATCAAGAGATTCTGAAAGAAAAGGGGCTGGATCCTGACATAATCCCACTGCTGTTCCTTTGGGAACCACCTTTGCCTCTGGAAACCCCAGTAGGTCCCAGCTGAAGCCACCGTGGCTGGGCATGGCAGCGGGTGGCACTGGGGACAGGGGGGCTGCGGTCCAGAGGCGCTGCACCAGTGTCTAATTTTAGCCTTGAACTGCCCGGATTTATCGTCCCCATCGTGTGACCGGGGTGGGGACACCCAGAAACCCTCAGGGGGTCCCAGACAGGGGGTGCAGCTCAGTTGTCCCATCCACAGCAAGGAGGGACATGGGGACAAGCTCTGAAACAGGGACAGACCCCCCGGCCCCCCCGGCAGCACCGGACACCTGCCACGTGCCATCGTCCCCGTCCCCATGGCTCTCACACAATATTTACAGGGGAATTTGGCTGGGGCCACTGCTCTGCCTCGAGAGCCTGTGTCCCCTCTGTCCCCACCCCCCCAGCTTCATGATTGTACCCACTGTGCCCCCCCAAACTGTCCCTCTGCCCCTTATCAGCCTCAGTGCCTGTTGTCACGAGCAGAGCCTGGATTCGCTCCCCACACCTCTTATTTCCCACAGAATGTTCCAGCAAGAGCACTCGGGGGGCAACAGGACGTCCCCAGCTGCCACCACCCCTCCAGGGACAGCCAGAGGCACAAACTGCTCTGGACAGAGGGGAGAATGGGTTGGAGGAGGAAGTTTTGAGTAGCAGGAGGAGGATTTTGGTGGAGGGAGGAAGATTTGATTCAGGAAAAGATCACTGAGCAGAAGAACCCCCAGGTGCGATCTCTTGGGGTCTCAGTGCTGGTGCTGGGGCATGGCAGGGGGCCACCCCCGTGTCCCAATGTCCCCATATCCCCATGTCCCCCCCATCCACGGCCGCCTGAGCCCACCTGGAGCACTCCTGCTTGTAGATGTCGATGATGTTCTCCACCAGCAGGTTCCTCTGCAGCCCGTAGACTCCGTGGCGATCCAGCAGCACCTCGTGGCGGCACGAAGGGCACCGGAACCGGCCCCCCGAAATCAAACTGCCCCGGCTCTGCCAGTACGGGTTGGCAGCCTGGGAGGGCAAGATGAACATCAGGGGCTCCATCAGTATCCCCACAATATCCCGGTGCCCCCCAGCCTGGGCGTGGGGAGGGGGATCCTCACCTGGAAGACGTCGTTGGCGCATTTGCGGCAGAGGTTGTGCTGGCAGGGCAGGATCACCACCGGCTTGCTGAACATCTCCAGGCAGATGGGGCAGATGAGCTGCTTCTCCAGGCTCTCCATGGGGCTGCCATCCTGCAGGATACCGGCTTGGAAATCCATGGGCTCCTCGGTGCTCTCCTCTCAGCGCTCTCGCTGCCGGCGGCCCTCGCCCCGCTATTTATAAATCGCCGCCTGTCACGCGGATCGCGACAGTCGGTGTCGGGTGTCCGGGGACAGCACCTGTCACACGGTGCTGAACCATCGGGAAGGGCCGGTAAACAAGATGGGCACAGGCTGTCCAGGAGGTGCTGCCCGCCCGTGCCGCGGACGTGTCCAGACTGGAGCTGTAAACAGAGCCCCGCTGCACACCCTGAGACCAGCACGGACCCCAGAACAGCACCAGAGCGGGGGCGAGGAGGGGCACACACCAGCCCTGTGGGCATGGGGACATTGTGGTGGTTCCAGAAACCAGGCTGAGCTGGGCCAGCTGCAGCAGGGAATAGGATTATACAGTTTGTCCCTTTCCCCACCCAAAACATGATTATTTCTGGGGTGCAAACACGCCTCGCCTGCTGCTCCCTGCGTGCTTGGAGGGCAGAGGCAGCTCTGGGGAGACGCAGATGCCTGGCACATGCAGCAGGGTGCCCCCTCCCCAGGCAGGGGCTGGGGGGCTCCCCCATGACCCCAGACCCTGCGGGGGCTGCTCAGGCCGCTCCCCACAGGCACATCCCAGCCGTGACCCAGCTGGCTCCGACACTGGGGTGCCAAAGCTGACCCAGAAACGGCCGAGGGGGCAGAGGGTGAGCACAGGTCTCGCTGAAAACAGCCCCGGACACGGTGCCCAGCTGGCTGGCCAGGGGCCAGTGCTGGCCACGGGGAGAGCAGAGGGTAACCCTACCCTTGGCACAGATGGGTCAGCATGGGGGGACAGGGCAGGGGGGACTGCGGGCAGGAGGGGGTGCAGGGGGTACCTGGGTACCCAGGTGTGGGTGCACAGGGATGCACAGGTACGTGGATAAATGGATGCACAGGTGCATGGATAAATGGATGCACAGGTACAGGGATAAATGGATGCACAGGTACAGGGATAAATGGATGCACAGGTGTATGGATAAATGGATGCACAGGTACAGGGATAAATGGATGCACAGGTGTATGGATAAATGGATGCACAGGTGTATGGATAAATGGATGCACAGGTACAGGGATAAATGGATGCACAGGTGTATGGATAAATGGATGCACAGGTACATGGATAAATGGATGCACAGGTGTACAGCACATGGTCTCGGGGTGCACTGACCCCCTCCTGTCCCCACAGCTGTTCTGGGGCTCCTTCCGCCCTGCCTCACGTGTGGAGCGAGTGACCGTGCCGGGACCCGCCAGGCACATCTTGCAAAATCGTTCCCGTTCCGGCACTTGGGGCTCTGCCAGCGAGGCGCTGGCAGGAGGACAGGGCTGGCTGGGCACCCGGGAGGGCAGCACGAGGGTCGGACCCTGCCCGGACCCAGACACGACCTGGCCCTGCCCTGGGTGACATTGATTAACTAATTGCTTCTGGACTCCATTAAGGGGATTCACAGGAACGGAGGGGTTGTAATGCCCTAAGCAGCTTTCCCAACCCACAAGGGGCTCGTTGGCCCCTAATTGGCTTGGGACAGCTTAGGCAGGACCCAGGGCACTAATCACCCCCGGGATCCTGCCCAATTAACCCTGGAGAGCCCACTACGGAAATGAACCTCCCTCTGCTTGGTCTTCGCAGGGCTCTGAGCAGGAGGTGGCCCTGGCTTCTCCCAAAATGTCCCTGTGGTGGCTCTGCAGTGGTTGAGGAGACAGCAGGGCTGTGACAGGAGCCCAGCTCCTGGGCATGGGGACACTTCCAGCCCCGCAGCCTGCACGGGAAAGGGGACCATGGCACAGAATAGGGAACAGAGAGGGGCGACAGCTCTTGTATCACTGTCGTACACAGCCAGAGCACAACCGAGGGCCACAGGGGCCGTACTGATTTTTTCTGGAAGCCAAGCAATAACTCACAGAGTCCCAGAATTGTTTTGGAAGGACATTAAATCCCCTCCAGTGCCACCCCTGCCATGGCAGGGACACATTCCACTGTCCCAGGCTGCTCCCAGCCCTGTCCAGCCACTGCCAGGGATCCAGGGGCAGCCACAGCTTCTTGGGCACCCTGTACCAGGGCCTCCCCACCCCCACAGGCAACAATTCCTTCCTAATTAATAAACAGAAATTTCGGCGATTAATTGATTAATTATTGTCATTAAACGCCCACCGCGCTGGCCCCGCCCCTCCGCCTCATCTGACCAATCACAGCCCGCCGTGCCCGGAGTGGGCGTGGCCGCGGCTGAGGGAGGCGGGCGGGCGGAGCGCAGCCCTAAGATGGCGGCCGGGCGGCGGCGGCGGCGGCGCTGAGGTAACGCGGCTTCTCCCGGCCCGGCTCGGCCCGGGGGCGGCTCCCCATCCTCCCCGGCCCCCGGGGAGGTTGTAGCGGGGCGGGATCCGCGCTGCAGCTCTGAGTGGGGGGGCTCAATACCCGCTGTGGCGGGCAGGGCCCAGCGGGCCAGCATCGTCCCCTGTGAGGCGAGCGGTGCGCCGGTGCTTCCCTTCACAACCGCAGGTGGGGGCCTGCTGCGGCTGCCCCGAGCAGGAGGGGTGCATTTATATTATCCATATGATTTCTATATTTTTATTACTCCATAATTGCCGCCGTTAACGCGGCGGGCGGCGCTGCCCGGGCCCGTAGGAGCGAGCGGCGGCCCCGGGCCGGTGTCCGCCCGGCCGGGCCCCGCGGCCCTCGGGCAGCCCCCGGCGCTCGGCGCGGTGGCAGCTCCCGGCACGGGAACACCTTTTGTGCCCGCTTGGAACCCGCTGTGCCCGTGTTTGAGGAACGCAGCGCAGCGTTTGCCCCCGGAGTTGTTTGGCCGCTGGGGAAATTGCAGCTCCTGCCCTTGTTGGCCCATGGGATCTGTGTTGAGGCTCTGAGCCGGAGCTGCAGCCCTGCCACAGGTGCAGCCTCGGCCCAGCCCGGGAGGGATTCTCCTGCTAATGCGTTTATCACACACCTCACATCTGGGTTCAAAACCTTACTGCAAGTGCCCATCACACAGCTTTGCTGAAAGGTTAAAATATCTCTGTAGCATTGCCTGAGACTGATGATACCTTTTTTCTCTCTCTTTTTCTTTTTTTTTTCCTTTTTTTTCCTTAAAAAAAAAAATTGCCTAAAGTAGTGGAAATACTTGAAATCTTCCTACTAATAACAGGCTGTTTCAATGTGGTCCTTATTGCCTGACATAAAGAGAATTTCCTTTATCACTGGCTGGCTTAAAGCTATTGTAGTTCTCATCTATCAGTGTGATTTTATTTATTTATTTACTTTTGGTTTTGCGTTTCGTTCTGTTTGACCAGTGATCCTTGGCTAGTCAAGCTTTTAATTTTTTATTTTAATTTATTGCTGTCTCTAGTCAGTGTCCCGTTTTGGTTTGGTTGTGTGAAGGTGGTGCTGGTGTTTGGTTCGTAATCTCGTAGGGCAGCGTGCAGGGAGGGTCATAAATCTGCAGCAGGGTTTGGTGGCTTTTTTTTTTTTCCTTCTTTTTTTTTTTTTTTTGTGTGTGTCTGTGTGTCTCTCTTGTTTTACTTTCAGAGCAATAACTTAACTTTTGTCCTTGCTCTGTTGAGCAAAAGTGAAAGTTAGATGCTGGGTGCAAACTTCTGCAATCAGTTATCCTTTTTAACCTTTCATAGCTGTAGATTCCTCATGCGGAGGAGGCTTGGTGAAAAATCAGTCACCTCAAAAAATAAACCCAGAGCGATTGAAGCTTTCTCTTCTCCAAGTAAAACAACGTAATTATAACAGAAACATTTGCTCCTGCAGTCACCTCCACAAAAAGGCAGTTAATTAAAACCTGTTACTGCCCAACCAGGGGCTTCAGCTGGGACCTCCCGTGCTCTCCAGGCTGGATGGGGAGCATGACACCCTCCTGTTATTCCTGCAGATGCTCACGGAAGACACTGAGGGAGAGGAGCAGGAGCGTTCTCGATAGTCCTGTCTCGGCACCATACCAGTCTAGGTCTGAATTGTTGCCACCTTGAACACGCCGGGCTGTGTTGGAAATCTTAACGAAAAGATGTAATTTCACTTTCACCTGGTCTGTGGCAACAGGTGCAGGTTTATGGAGGCGCTTCTGGAATGTTCTAGCACTGAACCCCCGTTAACAGCGGGGTCTGGGCAGGCCCAGCGCCGCCACGCCAGCCCCTAGGGGGTAAAATACAGCCCGGTTCCTGTGCCTAAGTTTTAGTTCTGTGGGTTTTTCCCCCTTCCCCAGAACCTTTGCTCTTGAAGATGGTGAGTAGCCAGCCTAAGTACGATCTAATTCGGGAGGTTGGTCGTGGCAGTTATGGTGTGGTGTACGAAGCGGTCGTCAGGAGGACCTGTGCCCGCGTGGCCGTGAAAAAGATCCGGTGCCACGCTCCCGAGAACGTGGAACTGGCTCTGCGCGAGTTCTGGGCCCTTAGCAGTATCAAGAGCCAGCACCCCAACGTCATTCACCTGGAGGAGTGCATCTTGCAGAAAGATGGCATGGTGCAGAAGATGTCCCATGGCTCCAGCTCCTCCCTGTATTTACAGGTACACGAGGCCGAGGGAACGGGGTGGAAGGAATCGGTGACGATGTGGAGCTGGGGGGAAGGAGGTGGGGCAGGGTTTGAGCCGTGCTCAGTTAGGCCAGGGGATTGTTTGCTTTGCTGACAGCCAGAATTTAACAGAGATCTTTATTAAAAAAAAAAAAAAAGGAACAATCACCTGGATCTTGGGTTTGAAGCTGTGCTGCTCTAAAAGACTCCAGAATTTGTATTTAATGCAAATCTGCTTTGATAATTTGAGGAAGCCCTGCAGGTGAAGCCCAGGGGAGGTGCAGGCTGTGGAGTTCTTGGCAGCTGCAGATTAAAGAGCGCTCCTGTCCTGGGACAGAGCTTGGAGGAATTCCATCCTGGGTGTCCTTGGAAGAGGAAATCAGTGTCTTGGAAGCCAACACTTAAAATTCTTTCAGAAACAAGAATCAATTGGTAGCACATCATGAGCTGGTTTTATGTTTTAATAAATAACCATTAATCTCTTCAAAGAGTGGTAAAGGTATAATTAAGGGAATACATACCGCTCTGAAAGTGTCCTTTAAGTTTGAAGATGTGTGTGTTTGAAGAATAAGTAGCTCTGGAAAGACATTGAAAGGCAATCTAATTAATTCCCTTGTCAAGAAGCAGCCCCAAGTATAAATCACCCCTGGGCAGAAATTTGTGTTTCTGGTTTAAAAAGCCAGCAGCCTGCTCAGTGTTTGCTGTGCTATCCCTAGTCAGCTCTCATTATTTCAGTTTTCATTGTCATTCCTGCTGTCTGCTTGGACCCTTTGTTGGTGAACAGCCCTGTCTGAGCCTGAGAACCAGGATTCTCAGCTTTGCCAACTCCCTCTGGCTTGGGAGCTGTTCCTGACGTGTTTTCATGGAAGGATTAGGCTAAAATAATACCGGCCAGCTCATGGGGGAGAAGTCAGAGCTTACCTTCCTGGTTTCAGTGGAGCTGCCACTCTGCTGGAGGGCAGATGTGCAGGGAGGAGCTTCAGAGGCCCCGGGGTGGAGCTGCAAGGTGGGGAAGAGCTTCCAGCTCTGGCTGGGATGGTGGTGCTGGGGATCAGCTGGCACAGGGATCTGGCCCCTGCCAGGGGCAAACAGCACGGATTGTTTGGCTGCTCCAGGGAGAAGAGCAAAGGGCAGAGCTGAGCTGACTGAGGGGTCACTTTGTAGCACTTTATCACTTTGAGGACAGTCAGACCTCGCTTGGCTCGGCCTCTCCCAGGTGAATTTACAGAGCTGAGCTGCTGCTGTGTGTGAGGAGGCTGAGGAGGGGCTGTCACCCACCTCTGAAGGGCTCTGGGGCAGATTCTCAGTGCCAGCTGAAGCAAATCTGTAGAGTTTGAGTCCTGAGTCAGCCTTGTGTGCTGGTGCTTTGCCACTGTCACACATGTGAGGGGGTGGATTGTGTTGTACTCTCACAACATCTGCAAGTGCAGCTCCCGTGACTCCTGTTGGTGCCCTCTTGGCAGAGGAGGCTCCCTGCTCTCCTGAGATACCTTAATCTCACCCTTCAAACCCTAAATAAGGCATTTTTTAGCTCTAAAATAGATTTACTGTTTAAATTGGTCTGGGAAGATAGCTGTAAATTACTGGGTTTTTTTTCTTGAAAAGGTCACTTTATGAAAGCATTTCAGAATGCCTCTCTAGGTATTAACACACCCCTTAATTTTTGAAAGCCAGTTTGATTTAGCATCCATTGGTTAAATAATTGCAGGACTTTCCTTCCAGAGCCACCTCAGAGGAGCTGAAGAGGCAAATGTTGTAATGACACAACTTGTCAACAGGATTAGTAAAAGTGATTGCAGGTTTTACTTTGCTTTCTGTGTGAAGCAGCTGTAAGAACTGGCTGTTCAACTTGTGTTCCTGAAAATACCATGTGGATAATGACGGTGGGAAGGGTGTTCCGTGCTCAGCTGTGCCTGCAGATCAGTGTTCTCCCGAGTTCAGGGATCCTGTGTTAACTTGCTGGTATTAATTAATGTGTCAGGAATGGAGACCAGGCTTTAAAAATCTCTCATGGATAAGCTCAGCTGCGTGGAGTTACTTGTGAGACTTTGTTTATCCCAAAAAGCTGTTGGCAAAGTGGGTGGGACAGGCTTTGTCGGGGTGGGACACTGTCCAGCTGGGACAGATGGCAGGGCAATGGCCACTGGGTATCTTTAAAAATTCTGTTATCAGAGTTGAGCTCTGCTTCTGGGCAGGAGCCTGAGCTTGATATGCTCCACACGAGTGAAGATAAGCAAATATATTGTGATTTTTTTTTATTTTTTTTTCTCTTAAAAACATTTGCATAATGTTTTCTTTCCCCCATTGCAGTATCTTGCTCTCTGGATTGTTGAGAGGAGGGTCAAACACTCCTAGAATGGTCTGGGTTGGGAGGGACCTTAAACCCCATCTCATTCTCATGGGCAGGGACACCTTCCTCTATCCCAGGCTGCTCCAGCCTGGCCTTGGACACTTGCAGGGATCCAGGGACAGCCTGTGCTGGGGCCTCACCAGCCCCACAGGGAAGAATTCCTTCTGTGTAACTAACCCACATTTCCCCTCTCCATGGAGATCCTGATTCCATGCATTATTCCAGCGTATCCTTTCCTTCTCATGCCCACCAGGTAGTTACGACATTCCTTTTCCTCGTTGCAGCTTGTAGAAACCTCATTAAAAGGAGAAATAGCCTTTGACCCCAAAAGTGCTTATTACCTGTGGTTTGTGATGGATTTCTGTGACGGAGGAGACATGAACGAGTACCTGCTGTCCCGCAAGCCCAACCGCAGGACCAACACCAGCTTCATGCTGCAGCTCAGCAGCGCCCTGGCCTTCCTGCACAAAAACCAGATCATCCATCGGGACCTCAAACCCGACAACATCCTCATCTCCCAGGGCAGGGCGGACGCCAGCGACCCCGAGCCCACCCTCAAAGTGGCGGATTTTGGGCTCAGCAAGGTGTGCTCGGCCTCGGGGCAGAACCCCGAGGAGCCGGTCAACGTCAACAAGTGTTTCCTGTCCACCGCCTGCGGCACCGACTTCTACATGGCCCCCGAGGTGTGGGAGGGCCACTACACGGCCAAGGCTGACATCTTCGCCCTGGGCATCATCATCTGGGCCATGCTGGAGAGGATCACCTTCATCGACACCGAGACCAAGAAGGAGCTGCTGGGCAGTTACGTGAAGCAGGGCACGGCCATCGTGCCCGTGGGCGAGGCGCTGCTGGAGAACCCCAAGATGGAGCTGCTCATCCCCGTGAAGAAGAAGTCCATGAACGCTCGCATGAAGCAGCTGATCAAGGAGATGCTGGCGGCCAACCCGCAGGACCGGCCGGACGCCTTCGAGCTGGAGCTCAGACTGGTCAACATCGCCTTCAAGGACAGCAGCTGGGACACGTGAGGGGCTCGGTGACAGCTGCAGGCAGAGCCCGAGCTCACCTGCAGGGGGGACTTTTCACCCAACTGGAGATTCCCCACAGGAATGCTGAGCTGGCCACCGTGTGAAATCCCAGAGTGAGACCTGAGGCTGTTCCTTGGTGTGCGCTGGCAGGGGGATGTTGAGAGAGCCAACACTACTTGATTTCCAGCACTCTGTCACGGAGTGCCTCACACATTCCAGTTTCCTATGTCAGTATTAGGAACTCTCATGGAAAAAAAAAAAAAAAAAAAAAGATTTGCATGCTGGCAGTGCAAATCTTGAGGCTTTGTAATGTAATCTGTGTATATATTTATGTATATGAGTGACTGGGAGTGTGTGGCACTTAAATTATTTGCTGTGGGTCTGGATGATTGGGGTCTGCTAGAAATCTGGGTGAAGAAGGTGAGTGAGAAAAGCTCCTTCTTCCCCAGGCCTGAATGACTTTATTATTTATTTTTGTTATCTAATTTCAAAGACTTGACTTTGTAAACAGAACAAAACAAAAAAAGCAATGCAAGGGGATCAGCTGCTTTCAAAGTGCTAATGTGGCTGATCTTAGCACTTAGAGCTTAATGAGCTCATCACTGAGGGAGTCAAATTAAAAATGTACAGTCAGGTGCTGGCAGGGGGCCTGGATCATTGATCATTTGATTTTGCTTTTTTTTTTAATCAATTAATCTGCCTTTTCTCAACATGCTCTCTGCCCTGGTGTCCATAATCCCATAGCACCTTGAGGAGTTATCCCAGCAGAATTCCTTGCCCTCACTTTATGGAAACACAGATGAGGGAATCCAGCAGCATATTCTTGAAATCCTTCAAAATGTGGTGGCAGCACAGTTTTCCCACTGAGTGGATCCAGCTAATAATCCCAATAGTCACTGGGCCTTTCCTCCCTGGCACTGCCCCAAATGCAGTGGGGACGAGGGGACAGAGGTGGCCCTGTCACACCTGGTGTCAGAGCTGGGAGAAAGCTCAGTGACAGCTCTGTCAAAGGTGGCAGCCTGGCTTGATTTTCTTTAATTTCTCCTCCTTTTAAAGAAGTGATGCTTATTTAAAAGCACAGATGGGAGGAAGGGGGGGTTTGGAGCAGCTGGAAGCTGCTTATCCCCAGCTCTGGCTGCAGATTGAGGTTGGGAGAGGTTTCACTGAGGCCACCTGAACACTGCAGGGCTGACAGCAGCTCTTTGGAGCAGCACAACATTTTGTTCTGGGTGCAGGACCGACCTTTTCCATTCAGTTTGACCTTTTGGGAAAAAAGCAGAGTCTTGAAATTGCCTTTAAAGCTACAGAAAAGGCCAGTTTTCTTTAAAAAAATTCAATTTAATTATTTCCCCCACCCAAATCTTGCCTGAGAATGGCTTTAAGTATTTCCTTGTATAATTTGCTTTGTGAATACTGTTCCCTCTTAGTGCTGGGACAGCAGTTCTGGGCACTCAGTGTTTAATTCTTTGAGTGCAAATAAACAAAACACGATTTTTGTTTTTCCAAAAGCAAAGGATTCTGATTCCACTCAACTTCTGAGGCTTTACAGGTGGTTCTTACCTGGTGCTGTGTGAGCTGGTGGCTGTCTCTTTTAATTCTTGTTACTTTTCTTTAACTTCATTGTTTTAGGGAGTGATCCTCAGACAAACACACTTCGCTGGTGCCAACTCTGCCTCCCAGTTCTCCCATCTCAGCAGGGTGAGAAAAACTTGAAAAAAAGGGGTTTACAATTCACATTAAACTCGGGAGCTTTTTAAAAATGAGGGGGGTGAGCGTTCCCCTCTCTCACCCACCCCAAAATCACAAGCAGAGCAGCGCTGCTCCCCTCCGAGGTGCTCTGGGAACCCCCCGAGTCCCTCTGCAGGGTTCCACTGAGGGACTGGCACAGGGAAGTTTTGGGGTTTTTTTTTGACTCCCAAAGTGTTTCTTTGCACTGATTGCCACTTTATAGGTTGGGGGTACCTGAAATCCCTCTCATGGTGCTTATCCTCGCTGTTGGGTGACACTGCTAGTCCTCGAGCTCTGTGTTCTCTTTGATTTTTTTTTGTTGTTGTTGTTGTCTGAGGTCTTTGTTTTGAGAAAACAAATCAAGTTGTTGTAGCAGCTGCGGGGTCGTTCACCAGCGTGACACGAAGTCAAGACACTTCTCAGCACTTGGGAAAGATTTTTTTTTTTTCCTTTTTTCCATGTTTTTCTTTAAAAACTGTAAAATATATTTTATGGAGAATTTATAATGAGGAAAATTATTGTGTAATTTATTAAGTTCATGACTGTTTTTGAAATAAAATCTTGAATTTCCATGAAGTTTTGGGACTTTTTATGGGGAAGTGCTTTCAGTCAGTGCCGTGTCAGTGCTGCCCTCCAGGGACAGCGTCCTGCTGCAGAGGTGAGGCAACATCATTATTAATCCATGACAGGAAAGTGTAGCCCTCATTTGCATGTTTTAATTAGCACTGCTCTGGACACGGGGAGCTGGGAATGCTGCAAATGAGTTTCTCTTGGAATTTCTTGCACCCACAAGAAACCTGAGCCCAGCCCTGTGGATTCCTGGTGCCAGGGAGGGGCACATTCCCACCTGGAGCGGGCACATTCCCACCTGGAGCGGGCACATTCCCACCTGGAGCGGGCACATTCCCACCTGGAGCGGGCACATTCCCACCTGGAGCGGGCACATTCCCACCTGGAGCGGGCACATTCCCACCTGGAGCGGGCACATTCCCACCTGGAGTGGGCACATTCCCACCTGGAACGGGCACATTCCCACCTGGAGTGGGCACATTCCCACCTGGCAGGGACCTTGTGCTTAAGTCAGTTCAGTTTGGATTTAGATTCATTTTTTTAGGGAGTAAAGGAGTAAGTCCCACTTCTGGATTAGTTCTAAGTGTGGTGATTTTAAATACAGACACAAGTTGAATTCCTTCCCCACAAAATGACGAAAAATAAACCTATATATACACATACATATATATTTATAATATATATATATACTGTACTTCAAATATATTTAGCCCAGAGGGAGGGTGGGGAATTCTGCAGCCCTGGTGCAGAAATTGGATATAATTATATTATATTGGATATAATTAAGCCCATCTGGGCTGGGAGAGCCCAACCTCGGCTGTGTTCTCGTTCTGAAGCAGGATAGTGGGAATACCAGCCTGAGCTGCTGCAGGTGCTGCTCAGGAGCTCTGGAAGGGTTTTGGGGGAATCTGAAACCCCATTTTTAGGAGCAGGGAGGTGTCAAGTGCCCCAAGGATGGGCTGGGCACCACGGCTGGAAGAGGAGCCCCAGCCTGGGCTGTTCTTGTCCGTGTCAGAGGCTCCTTTGCTCTCAGGGTTGGGATGGAACCAGATGCAACCTAAAATCCTTTACAGCAGCAGCGGGTTCAGGTCATCCTGACCCTGGTTATGCTTCCCTCAAGCCCAGCAGCTCCTTCTGTCCCCGTCTGTCCCTGTGGTCCCAGCACTGCCGTGAGCTTGGAGCCCTTTTTGGGGCTTGGAACATCCACGGGAGCCTCTCCCGGGCCCGGCTGCTCCAGCTGGGACTTGCAGCAGCACACGGGTGCCTGCCTGGGGTTAGGTGCTGCTTTCACATTTATTCGTGCCCGTTTGAACCCTTGGTATTTTTAAACCTGTCTAACAAGCCTTCCAGCCCTGCCCTCTCCCGAAGGAAAGCGCTGCCCTGGCTCCTCCCCAGCTCCCCTGGGCAGCGCTCCAGCGCTTCATGGAGCTCAGGTCAGAGGAGCTGCTGTGGGGTGGGGATTAAAGCAGCCACTGGGGCAGCAGGTGCTGCACTCCCGGCTGCACCTGAGTGATTTTTGAAATGATTTTTCCAAAGGAGAAACGCATCTGGAGAGAACTCAGCGGGACACGGTGGCTTCTGGTCACCTGGAGCTGTCGGAGCAGCGTCATCAGGAGAGGAAAATGCTGTGGGAGGAGGATCTGGGACTCGTGGCTTTGGGGACCTTCTCTGCCTTTTCTCACTCTGGAAGTTTCTATGCCTGCCCCAGCTGTGGCTCGGTTTCACCCAGGGTTGTTTTGTTTGTCCAGCTCTGTGCTCCCTTCCAGCCCCACAGAAGAGCACTGAGAGCTCTGAGTAACCTTAAATAAAACCAAGGCACTCTGAGCACCCACATGACTCCAAAAACCCCCCTGGTGCATCCACAGGAGGCTGAAAATGGGATCAATCCCTTCCTAGAAATCACAGGGACAAAACCCCCACCACCAGGAAAAGCAGGAGCTGCCTGGGAATTTGATACCAGGAGGGGCCCCTCAAATCATCCTTCTTATATCCCAACAGGAATCTGCCTTGTCCAAATATTCCAGTTCAACAGCAAGTGCCTGGCAGGTGCCCCAAGGAGGGCAACCACTGGGCCAGGCTTTTGGGAAGAGCATCCCATAGGAACCAGGAAAAGGTGATTTCTCTTACTCATGGCTTTACCAGAACAGCCTGGAAAATAAAACACTTCCTAATGAGCAGTGATTCATGTTGCCTGTTAAAATGGTGTTAAAATTAAGGTCCATGAGGGAATCCAGAGGCAGATCCCGGAGCTGCCAAGGGTTTCTCCATCACTTGGCCCGATCCTATTCCCTGTCTTCCACCAGATTTGTTCCAGTGCAGCCACATCCTGCACACAAAGCCCAAGTGTTGTCTGCTCTGCTCTCCAGGTTCATTAGAGAGCTGGTCTGTCCCTCCCTTGCTGTCACTGGGATTTTTTTTCCAGTCTGGCCCCTCTCATCCTGCCCAGCTTCCATTTTAGCCCCCATTTTCGTCAGCACATTTTCATCCTGGCCCCGAGCCCTTCCTGCCCCGCTGCCATCGGCCGGGAAGGTGCTGGAAACAGCCCCGGGCCCCATTCCCGGCACCGGCTCTGGAGCAGCAGCTCCTCAGGAAGGAACTGGGGTGGGGACACAAGTGCTCAGGGACAGGTCCCCTCTCAGCCCGGGATCTGGGGCCGAATGCCGTGGCTTTGTCCCTTCTGGAGCCTCCTCAGTCCCTTCGGTCAGCCCGGGCAGGGCTGTGCCCCAGCTCTCCATCCAGAGGGGTGCAGGGGCTGGTGGCTCCCTGGGCAGCACCGGGGGCTTCCTCTGCCCCTCTCCGGGGCTCCGGGAGCTCGGGGTGCAGCCGGTCCTTCCCCCTCGGCTCCAGTGCCACGTTCGCGGCCCCCCGGGATGGAGCTGGGGATGGAGGGGACCGGGATTGTCCCTGAGGGAGCGCTCGGTCCTCGGGAAGGGAAGAGGGCAGTGATAAAAATAACCCCTGGGCAAGCTCCAGCCCATTGTGGCTTCCTGCGATTTACAGCCTTTCCCGGGGGGAAGAGGCAGGAACCGGCCGGCTCGGGGCTGGCTTTGACCCTTTCACCGCCACCGGGGAAGGTGCCAGAAGAACCTTCCCTCCTTTCCTGCCTGGCCAGGATCCTGGGGAGGGGGATTGTGGAGGGCTCCTGCTCCGGAGCTGCCCCCAGCACCCTGCGGTGGGTGTAGAAGGAGAAGCTGCTGCTGTGGACGCGGTTTCCCTGTCCCGTTCCTCACCCGCCCTGTGCCGGGGACAGAGAGACTCGGAGGAGAAATTCTCTGCTGCAGATCCCGAAATCCCGGCCGGGCTCCCGTGGGAAGGGGAGCTGGCAGAGGTGAGCTGGAGCTGCAGGATGAGGGGTTAATGCTGTGCAGGGGGGTCACGCTGGCAGGGCCGGCACGGGGTGGGCTCCTGCCGGCGGGGCTGGGCTGGCAGGGGTTAATGGGTGGCTCTTCCTCTTCCTCATCCTCTATATGAGGCTGCTCCTGGCTCTGGGCTCAGTTTGCCGCGGCAGCCGGAGGGGCAGGAGCTGCGTGGGACTGGAGCATCCCCGCATCCCATCCCCGCATCCCATCCCCGCATCCCATCCCCGCATCCCACCCCTGCGTGGGCTCAGGTGAGTGAGAGCATCCCCCAGCTGCCTGGCACAGGTCCTAGCACAGGTCCTAGCACAGGTCCTGGCGCGGGGCTGGGCTGGGGAGGGTGAGGGCCCCGCGGCACGGGCAGTCCCAGCCTGGGCAACTCGTGCTCATCCCTCGGGAGCACAGGGAGAGACACACCGCGTGCCTCAGTTTCCCCGGACGCACTCCGGGGCGGGTGCGGTGTGGAGCCCGTGGGCCGCGTCTGGAGCACCGTGGCAGAGATTTCCCGGGATGTTTCCTCCCGTTATCTCTGCTCTGCCCAGCCCCGTGTCCCTGCTGTCACCCAGGGCTGGTTCCCTGCCCTCCGCACACGGAGAAAGGGAGAATCTTCCAGCCCAGCCCGGCTGTGTGGGGCACGGCTCGGGGACCCCCCATCCGTGGGGCAGCTCGCCAGCTCTCCTGAGCACTGTTCTGCCGCTCGGGAAGACAAGGCGGCGGCTCCGGTATTTTTTCCTGTTGGAAGCCGCTCCTGGGATGCGAGTGAAGCCGGCGGATGCTCGGCGCTTCTCCCTTCCTGCCCGGGGCCTGTTCCTGCCTGGGCTGTCAGGACTCGCTGCCCGTGTGGGGACCCTCAGCTCTGCTCCAGCTCCATCCTCCTCCTCCTCCTCCTCACTGCCGCACCCTCGGGGCTGACCCTGCCTCTCCTCTCTCCTCCCAGGGCTGAATCCGGGAGCCGAGCGAAGCTTCAGGAGCCTCCCCAGCGGCCGCAGCAGAGCTGCCCGGCCACTCCGAAGGACACAGAGAGATCAGCAGCGCCGTTCCGGGGCGATGGTGCCCTTGGGCAGCCCCACTCTCGCCGTCTGCGCCTCCAGCAACCTGCGCCTCGTGGCCCCCGGCCGCGGCTCCCCCCTGGCCTGGCTGAGTCGGGGCCCCGAGTGCCCGCAGGGGTCGGGGGGCAGCGGGGGCCGGAGACCCAGCGCCGTGGAGCGGCTGGAGGCCGACAAGGCCAAGTACGTCAAGTCCCAGCAGGTGATCAACAGGAGGCAGGAGCCGGCGCTGCGGGGCTCGCCCCGGCTGTCCCCCCACGGGCGGCGCCGGCTGGGCCGGCAGCAGTGCAGCGAGCTGTGCCCGGGCTCGGAGCTGAGCCGGGACGGGTCCCGCAAGCTGCCGTGCCCGCAGTCCCCCGTGTCGCGCCGCAGCGGCAGCCGGCGCCTGCTGAGACCCGACTCGCTCGTCATCTACCGGCAGAAACGGGACTGCCTGGCCGGGGACAAGGAGAACACCAAGGGCTCCGGGCTGGTGCGGCGCCTCTTCCAGGGACCCCTCAGAGACAGGCCCCCCAGTTCGCCCCCCGCCAGGGCGCTGGGCGAGGGACCCAGAGCCCCCCAGAGCCCCGAGACCCCGATGCTGTGGGCGCCGGCGGAAAAGGACGAGGCGCGGACACCGGGAGGCGGCAGCGGCGGTGACAACGGTGACATCTTCCCCGTCTCCTGCCATCCCCCATCTCCCGCCGCCGAGCAGCCCCCCGGCGCCCCCGGGAAGGAGCCGCTGGCTCTGCGCGTGTCGCTGCCGCTGTCGGAGCAGGAGCGCTTCTTCAACTACTGCGGGCTGGACCGGGCGCTGGTGGAGCTGCTGGGCCGGGAGCGCTTCGGGCCGGCGGGCTGGGACAGCGCCTCGGCCCGGCCCCCCGGCTCCTGCGAGTCCGAGCCCGGCCGGGCCTCGGGGGGCAGCGAGGGGGACGCGGGGCCGGGCGAGGAGGAGCCGGACGCCCGGCTGGGCTCCGCCGTCTCCGTGGTGGAGCGCAACGCCCGAGTCATCAAGTGGCTCTACGGCTGCCAGAGAGCCTGGGCGGCTGCCAAGGAGTCCACGGTGTGAGCGGGGACAGCCTGGCCGGGACGAGGACACCCGCGTGGCTCCCGCTGGATGGTCGTGGCCCCTCGCCCTCGCTGGATGTGGCCGATGGGCTGGTGGCACCCGTGGCCCTGATGCCGCGGGGATGCTGCAGGCTGGGAGAACCACCAGGTCCCCAGGCTGAGTGTGGTGGGGGCACCCGAGGGGCAGATGAGGAAGGGGCACCCCCGGGTGAGTCTCTCCATGGTCTCGGGGCAGGCAGGCTGCTGTCCCCCTGCTGTCCCCCATCTTCTCCATTCTCCCTGTCCCCAGCCCAGGAGGGTGGGATGAGCCTGCAGCCCCCGCCCATCGCCCATGTCCTGCTCCAGCTGCAGGCTGGGGAGTGGGCAGAGCCCGAGCCCCCTGCCGTGGGCAGTGCCCACCCCACGGCCCCCTCCTCCCCAGAACAGGGGCTGCTGCGGCCGGAGCTGCCCTCAATAAATCCATTTGGGTTTTTTTTCTAGCCTGGCAGTGCGTGTGGTTGTGGGGGGATGCGCCGGGGCTGGGGGTGCAGCTCCACCTCCCCACCCTTGGGGGCCGTGGGGCTGTTGGGGGTGTGAGGGCAAGGAAAGCAGGCAGAGCCCAGGGGAAAGCGGCACCTTCGGGGTCTTGAGTGCAGATGCGACCCCCAAACCCACGGCAGAGCCCTCGGCCATGGGCGGGGCGCTGCAATGCGGGGCCGCAAATAACTTTTGGAGAGTCCGGCTGGTTCATCCTCCTCTAGTTGCCCTTGGGGGCGGTTTTATTCCGGATTTCGGCCAGTTTGCCAGCCAGGAAGCCCCAGTGGAAGGCCCCTTCCTCTGGCTCCCGCAGGTCGCTGCCGTCGTCACCCGGCGGCTCCCCAGGGCTCTCACCCGGCTCCGGGGGGGGCACCCCCTTGTCCGGCCCCGACGCCTGCTGCCACTTGGTGGCAAAGAGATCCCAAAATCCAGGCGCCTTCTCGGTGTGGGGCATCTCGGACGGCTCAGTGGCCAGAGGGCTGCGGAGAGAGCGGGGACGGAAATGTCGCTGCAGGGACCCTCTCCCCCAAGCCCACCGTGCCCCCCCTGCACGCCGGCTCGGCCCCCGGGTGCAGCCCGGGCAGGGGGATGCGGGTGATGCGCTGGGGGGGGGGGTCTGGGGGCTCGGCAGCTCCCAGGGGTTGGATCCGGGTTCTGGGGGTCCCCTCCCCAGCGAGCTGCAACTTACTGGTCTGGGCAGGGCTCCGGGCCGAGCAGCTGGTGCTCGTCCTCGCGGCTGAAGAAGGATGAAAGCGTCCGCCAGCCCCGGGCACCCACCCCCTGCACCTGCGGGGAGGCAGCGCCGGGGTCACCGCGGAGCTCCGGCTCCCAGTGACCCCCGGCCCCGCTGCCCCAGCCCCCTCCTCACCTTCCTGGCCAGCTGGGACACGGGGCTGGCTCCCTCCTCCATCAGCGCGGGGGGCTCGGCCGTCTCCATCAGCTCGGGGGGGTCTCCCTGCAACGAAGCCCCCGGTGAGGGCAGGGGTGCGGGCAGGGGGAGGGCAGGGAGGTCGGCCAGCCCATTTTGGGGATCCCCCACCCTACCTCGTCCTGCAGGGCCCCGTCCGGCCGCGGCCCCCCCAGGCTCTGCAGCACTTTGGCCTTGTAGAGCCGCCAGAAGCCCTGGGCCATGGCGAGGGGCTCAGCGGGGCCGGAGCCGCGGGCAGCGGGGCGGGCGGAACGGGCGAGCCGGCGATCCGGTGGCTTCATTAAAGTTTCAGCGGCCACTTGCACCGCACAAAAGGAATCTGAGCCCGGGCTGAGCCGGGGGCAGCGCGGGGGCGGCTCCTCTGGGCACCCCCAAAACCCATCCCGACCCCCCCGCCCCAGCCCCCCGGTGCCCCTCGCCCATTTGGGACCCCCAGGGCTGGGACACCCCCGCCACGGTGCAGAAGAGGCGCCGGAGCCCCGCGCTCCCCCCGCCGCGTGTCCCCATTTATAATTAATCACGGACGAAACACGATCAGCGGCGGGACGCGGCGCGCTGAGCCTGCCCGGCTCATGGCAGCGGTGACCGGGGCAGCACGGGGAGCGCGGGGACACGGGGGGAGCACGGCGGTAAGGCGGGGACGGTGGCACCGGGGGCGCGGGGGTCGCGGGGACCGTCCCGGGGTCACCGCTGGGGGGGCGGGGCCTGTTTGGATATGGGCGTGGCTTAAGGGGTGGGCGTGGCTATGCGATTTGTGGGCGTGGCGTGCTGTGATGTGGGCGTGACTATGCGATTTGTGGGCGTGGCGTTCGGTGATGTGGGCGTAGCTATGCGATTTGTGGGCGGGGCGTGTGGCGGTGTGGGCGCGGCCCCCGCCGCCCCCGCGCATGCGCAGTGCGGCGCGGCGCGGCGTGCGGCCGCCATGTCGCCGCGGAACGGGCGCCGCACCGGAGCGCACCGGGCGCACTCGCTCGCCCGGCAGCTGAAGACGAAGCGGCGCCGGCGCGACCTGGACGAGATCCACGCGGACCTGAAGCCCGAGAACGCCGCGCGGCTGCTGCGGCAGGAGATCGACCCCGACCTGCCGGGCTGTGCCCAGTTCTACTGCCTGCACTGCGCGTGCGTGCGGCGGCGGGGGGGGGTCCCGGGGGTCCCGGGGGAGGGCTCCAACCACGGGATGGCCTTGCCCTGGTCCCGGGGGTCCCTGGCCGCTGGGATGGGGTCGTTCGGATCCTGGGGAGCTCCTCTGGGAGAGGCGTGCTCAGGTCCTGGGGGTCCCTGTCCCCTGGGAGGGGCTGGCCCTGGTCCCGGGGTGGTCCCTGGCGAGGAGACTCGGAGCTCTGTGGGAGTATCTTGTCCCTGAGCCTTGTGAGGAGCGTGTCCTGCTCTCGGGGTGACCGCAGGCCCGTGCAGGGTTGCCCTGGGACCCTCCCCAGCCCTCCTTCAGTCTCGGGGTCCCCCTGACCCCCGTCCTTTCCTACCCCAGGCGCTACTTTGTGGACCTGAACAGCATGAAGGAGCACTTCAGATCCAAGGTGCACAAGAAGAGGTGAGGGCGGGGGCAGCCCCCCAAATTTCCCAGGGTGAGGGGGCTGGCAGGGGCAGTTCTGGGCCAGTCCTGCTCAGAGGAGCAGGTGGAAGCTTCATCCCCTCTGCGGCCCCCAGGCTGAAGCAGCTGCGCGAGGCTCCGTACACGCAGGAGGAGGCTGAACGTGCCGCCGGGATGGGCTCCTACATCCCCCCGAAGAAGGTGGAGGTGCAGACCCAGCCCCTCGAGGAGGTCACCGAGATGGAGGCATCCAGCTGAGGGCAGGGACAGGGGACTGAGAGCCCGAGTGGCTCTGTAAGGACGTCTTTGTGCTCAGCTTTGTGAGAAAAGTCCCAGCAGCGCCAGCCAAAACCACCCTGCTCCTCCCTGGCCAGGGCACTAACGAGGAGAAGGAGCCAGCAAGACCCTGGGTGCCCTCACCGAGTGTCCTTCCTCTCCACAAAGGGACAAGCTGCTTGTTCTCTGAGTGCTGCTGGGACTGCACACTTGTCTGTCTGCTTTTGGAGCAGTTTCTGCTCTGTCCTTGGGTCAGTGATGCACCCATTAAAATATGTAAAATAAAATATGTCAACTAACGGTGTGGCAGCATTGAATATGAGTGTGACAGTCCCCCCAAGGGGTGGGGGGACACATCAGCTCTTCCCCATTACCCAAAGGTCCGTGCTAGGAGCCTCATCCCAGAGCTCTCACCCGGCAGGGTGGTAAAATTCCCTCTGCTCTCCACACAGGGAGTTCCCAGGCAGCTTTTTTATGGGGAATATGAGCTCAAGTGACCTTGGGCCTTGAGAGGAGAGTGCTGGTGTCCTCTTGGTGAGGACACTTTGAGGCTCCAGTCCCCAAAAAACCCAACTTCTGTGATTACATGCTCCTGGAGGGCTGGGGCTGCACGGCGTGCTCAGCCTCCCTGCCTGGTGTCCCTTAGGGGACATTGAGTGACAATGCCACCAAATTCCTGCCGAGTGGGTGTCCCCGATTCGTCCCTCCTGCCAAGCTGGGGACTGGGAACGTGCTGGGAACAGAAGACAGAGCAGTGACACAGCTGTGCTGGGTAGGGAAGGGTTTATTTCCACGCAGCCTGCCCGGATTTCCACCCCCCGGCCCCGGGGGATGGAGAGGAGCAGTTCTTCGGGGGCTGGAGCTCTGCAGCCGCCATCCCAGCGCCATCCCAGCGGGATGTGCCTGCCCAGGGGACGCGTCACGGCCGTGTCCCCCTGCCCGGTACCTAATGGCGCTGGCCTCATTCCTGCGGGGCCGCAGCCACAGCGCGTTCCCATGGGGACAGGGGGGCTCTGTGGTCCCCAGGCCCCTCTGCTTCCGTGGGGGATGGAGATGGATGCAGCTCCCGGCTCTGCCGCCTCTCTGTGTGTCCGGATCCCGGTGTCCCCGCGTGGCTCGGGCAGGGGCTCAGCCGGCAGCTCCGGAGCTGGAAGCGGCTCCTCCGTTTTCCATCCCAAAGCGGGGGCAGGCGGGGACAGGCGCGTCCCCCATCCCCTGGGCTTCCATCGCGTGCCCAGGCCTGGTGGGAAGGGCTGGATGTGGCGCAGCTCAGCTGGAAAGCGGCCGCAGCTCCGCTCGGGCGGGGGCAGGCGGGTGGAGGGGGACCCCAACACCACCCCGGGGACTGTCCCCACGGCCCCCCGGCCCCCTCCTCACGGCTCCGGGGGGGCCTTGGCGGGGTCAGCCATTCTCCGGGCGCTGTAGAGGGACAGGCAGAGTCCGGCGGCCGCCAGCAGCAGGGCCAGGGGGGTCAGCAGCCGCCCCCCCGGCTCATCCCCACGTCCCGCTGCCAGCTGCATCTGTGGGGACAGAGGGGAGCACTGGAGTAGCCCAAACCCCACCGGGACAGGGTCCTGGGGCCATGCCCTGAATGTCCCCATCGCACTGGGTGGTGTAAAGGCAAGGGGAGCAGCTTTGTGCCCCTCTGGGCATCTCGGGGAGGTTTTAGGGTGCCCCGTGCAGCACTTGCGGGCCCCCACCGGCAGCACGGTCGCTGCTAACGCGGGGCTGGGATACAGCCGGGAACGGCTCCCGAGGCCAGCAGGCCCGGTGGGCAGCGTGGGCAGCATCCCGGGGCTCCCCAGGGGCTCCCCCAGCCCTGCTCCCCCTTACCTGGAGCAGACGGAAGTACCCCGGGGTCAGGCGTCGGGGGCGGATGATCATGGCGTGACCGGGAGAGCGGGGTCGGGCTCCGTGGGGCGGCAGCAGCGGGGCTGGCACCCCCCGAGCCCCGGAGCACGGCGAGGGGCTCCGAGAGTGTCGGCGGCCCCTCGGGCAGGGCGCAGGCACCGGGCGGGCGCGGAGCAGCAGCTGTCAGCCGCGATCAGCGCCCGCTGCTCCCCGGAGCGGACACGCCGGGCGGGGGGGCCTGGGCCAGCCCAGACTGGGTTTGGTGGGGGCTGAAGGGCTGGGCTGAACCGTGGGTGAATCCCTCTGCAGGCCTGTACGGGGCTGCCTCAGTTTCCCCACCTGCAAAGAGGTGTGAGTTACGCTTTGGGCGGGGGGTGACACCCCAAAAACTCCGGGGCTCAGCAGAGGCTCCCCTCAGGTTCTTCTGGAGGGTCTGTGTGGCCTAACTTTGCACCCACGGGGCACCTGGGGGTCTCCCACCGGTGCCACAAGTGGTACGTGAAGCGGCTGGGGGGTGACACCGGCCGTCATTTCCCGGGGGTTCCAGCGGCCGTGTGTCACCGTCCGGGCTGTGACTCACCGGAGCCTCGCCCCACGGGCCGGTCCCGGGCAGGCGGGCTCGGCGCTGAGCGGCACCCGGGAGCGCCAATGGGGCTGCGGCTGCCGGCGCAGGTGGGAGCCGCGCCCGGCGCAGGTGAGAGCCGCGCCCGCCGCCGCCATGGAGCCCGTGCGCTCCTGGGGCCCCGCGCAGGCGGCCGCCTGGCTCCGAGGTGAGACCCAGGGTCTCGGGCTCTTGGGGACATGCGGCTGGGGCTGGCAGAACTTCCCGTCCCTCCTCTCCTCCCTGGGAGGGGCATTCCCTGGATGGCTTGGGGGGAGAGGGAAGGGGTCTGGCCGTTCCCACCGTTCGGGTTGAGGCCGGGTGATCTCGTTGCGTGGAGAGGAGCCTCCCATCAGCCAGGGAACACCCCTGGGGTCACCCGGCCAGGAGCCAGCGGGGACACTGGCGGGGGGACTGATCTGTGGCAGGGCTGGACGCGGCGGTGCAGGGGTACCCCTTCGAGGCCTGGGGGCTATCGGGGCCTGACCTGCTGGGGCTGGACGCGGAGGTCCTGGAGGCACTGGGCGTGTGGCCCTTGGGACACCAGGAGCTGCTGCTGGAAGCCGTGGAGCAGCTCCGTAACCTGGTGAGTGCCGGCATCCCGGGGGCTGCGGGATCCCAGGGAGGAAGGGAGGAGCAGGGGGACGTTCCCTGGGCTGAAGGAGGAGGATGTGGGATCACCCTGGGCTGGGTAGAAGGGGGCAGATGGGGTCACCTTGCACTGGATGGAGGTGGGGACACAGGAGCACCCTGGACTCACTGGAGAGGGGTTCTGAGGAGACCGTGAGCTGGACAGAGGGAAAGACATGGGGGCACCGTGGGCTGGGTGTGGATGTGGAGACCACCCATCCATCCCCTGGCATCCCTGTCCCCCCCAGGACACAGGGCTGGCGAGCACCAGCTTGCGGACACTGACGGAGAGGCTGCAGGAGCTGGCGCAGGGCATCCAGAGCCTGGTGCAGGGGGGGCTGTCAGCAGGGGATGCCCCCCAGCCGCCTTCCCTCACCCTCCTGGCCCGAGTCATCGACCTGGTCGGGGCTGCCAAGGAACTCTTCTCCTGGCTCAACAGGTCTGGGGCAGCTGAGGGTACCCCTGGGTGCCCCCCACTCCGGGGGCTCAACTCTCTCTTCCCCCAGGTACCTCTTCTCCACCCTCAATGACTTTTCGGCCAGCCGGGACATCATCCTGCTCTGTGCCCAGCTGGCAGAGATGCTGCAGGCGGTGAGTGCCCAGGGCTGGCTGCTCTCCTGACCCCCAGAGCTCCGATGGCTGGAGGTGGGGGAAAAGCTGGGGTGCAGGGGGGTCCCCCCAGCTGGGATGGAGCCGTCCCATCATGCTCATCCCCACGTCTTGTCCCCCAGGACCTTCCTGTGGCCGAGAGGAGCAGCGGGATCCTGCAGATTGTGAGTGCTGGGTGAGGAGGGGGTGGCAGGCCCGGGGGGCTGCCAGGGCTCCCCTCACGCCCCGCTGTCACCCGCAGTGCCAGCACATCGTGGGCATCTGTGAGAGCATCGTGGGCTGCAGCCCCCCGGCGCTGCTGGACCGCAGGGCTGTGCTGCAGCGTGTGGGGCTGGCGCTGCCCCCCAGCCCACAGGGCAGCCCCCCGATGTCCCCCAGCACCCCAACACAGCCCCTTGGCCTGTGGCAGAGCCCCCCAACATCCCCTGACACGCCAACGCTGCCCCCCAGCCAATGGAGCAGCCCCCCAGGATCCCCTGACACCCCAACACCACCCTCTGATCTTGTGGGGAGCCCCCAGCCGCTCCTCACCACCCGACTGGTGAGTCCCCTCCACCCCAGTGCCCCCCTCTGCCTCGGGACCCCCAGCCCCCTGCTCAAACCCCCATCTTGGCCCCCCCAGGGCTTTGAGATCACCTCCACCAGCTCCTGCCTGCACTTCGTGTCTGCAACCACCTCAGAGGTGAGTGAGGGGCTGCCCTCCTGTCACCCCCTGCCCCTCAGTCACCCCCTTTTGTGCCCTGTGGGGAACAGCCCCATCCATGGGATCCCGAGAACCTCTTAGGGCCCTAATCTGCCTTCCCCTGCCCCAGAGCAGGGCCTGTGGCTGAGCCTGTGTAACTCATCCCATGAGTGAGCACAGCCTGGGCATGGGGGAGCCCCCTCTGCACCCCGATCCCACTGCTGGGCAAAGTCGGGTTAATGGTTAATTAACCTGAACCCCTTGGTTCTTCCTGAGGGAGAGGTCCTGAGTGGGGTTAGCTTGGGAGGAAGGGAGGGAGAGAACCCAGGACTGGGCACCCCACTGTCACCCACCTCTACCCAGGCTCTGGCTGCCCACAGGGGCCACGTCCTGCCCGGAGATGAGATCGTGCAGGTCAACGAGCAGGTCGTGGTGAGTCAGGGGCACAGGGGCTCCAGGCTGCTGCTGCATTTGGCAGGGAGCACGTGGACAGAACTGCAGGGCTGGGAGGGCTCGGGGAGTACTGGGGCTGAGGTGGGGGGATGCAGGAGTTATGAGCAGCAAAAAGCAGGAGCTGTGGTTGGGAAAGGTCTGGGGGACACAGGAGCCATTGCCAGGAGGATTTGGGGGATGTGGGATCTGTGGCTGGGGCAGGTTTGGGGGATGAAGCGTGCGTGGGGCCGGGGCAGTGGCCCACAGCTCACCCAGGATTTGCAGGTGGGTTGGACACCCGTCAACCTGGCGAGGAAGCTGCTGGAGAAGGGGAACAGGGTGACTTTGGTGCTGAAAAAGATCCCCCTCGACCTGCCCGGCTCACCCCCCTCTCCCAGGCAGCAGGTGAGTGATCCCAGTGCTCCCAGTCCAGCACCAGTGCCGCACTGGGCTGTGCTGGGAAGCAGGCAGAGATGCTCAGAGCTGGGTATCTCCCATCACACTGGAGATTCCTAAAGCTCTGGGGTCCGTGGTGGGATGGGGCTGGCACTGACACTCCATCCACAGCCCCCAGGAGCATTTTTGGATGCTGCAGATTCCCCTGGCACCAGGAGCAGCGAGAGCCCGGGCAGCCCCGTGTCCTTGACCTCCAGGTGAGCCCCATCCCGACACCCTGACACCCTCAGTCTGGCCATCAAGGAGATGTTTGGGTACATCCATCCTTCCCAGCCCTTTTCTAGGGGGAGAGGTGCCAGCAGTGCAGCAGCTGCCTTGAGCAGCCCAGCAAGCTGCCAGCAGTCTTAAGGAATGAAAACCAGGGGGGGTTAGTAATTCATTCACTTGGTAACGTTTTAGTGGGTTGGAACTATATTTAGGCATGACCCTTCTCCCATCCCGGAATGGAAAGGCGTGCGGAGAGAGCCAGAGGCAGCACGGGCAGGAGCCGAGCTGGGGAGGCCGGTGGAACGGAGCCGGAGCTCTGGCACCACGTCCCCTGCAGCCCCATTCCCGGGGCAGGGAGCGCCGCGGGTGCCCCAGCCCGAGGTTGATCAGGGACCCTGGCAGCGCTCAGGGAAGTTTGGGGCTCAGGGGTCCCTTTTTCCTCCCAGCGTTGCAGCCGACTTGGACTCGGGACCAGACTCTGCCCCGGATCCCGTCACTGACGAGGAGCAGGAAGAGGACAAGCGGGATCTGAGGCTGCCCGGGGCAGCTGTGGAGGAGCTGCGGGGACTGTCTGGACAGGGTAGGATGGGAGCAGAGGGTGTCCGGGGATGGAGCAGTTCCCCCCAGAATAGGAGGCTGCAGCCCTGCTCTCTGTTCACAGGTGCTGCAGAGGTGTGGGACAGTGGCAGCACCCTGGGAACCCCCCTGGACACCCCCCCGAGCACCCCTGCTGCCACTGAACCCTGTGCCACAGAGCTGAGCCCCAGGGCAGCCCCCAGCACGGGGGCTGGGGGAGCAGAGCCCAGCCAGCTCCCTGGGGAGGTGAGAGCTGGGGGGGACACGCTGGGGGGGTGTCAGAGGTTCCCCTCTGACCCCCTGCACTGTGTGGGTGAATTGGGGGGTCCCTACAGGGGTCCCTAAGGGCTGTGTTTGCTGCTCAGCAAACACTGCCCTGCCCTCACCCCCTGCACTGTCACTTAGATCCCATCTCTGTTTCCCCTCCCAGGGCAGCCCCCGCACGAGACCAAAAGGTGAGCAGAGCCCTGGCAGGGCTGGGGGCTGTCCCGGGGGGGCTCTGCCTCCCCTTCCCTCCCCTGACACCCCCAAGGCTGTGGCGCAGGAGTGGCGACCAGGCTAAGCCGCCGCCGGGTCTCGTGCCGGGACCTGGGCCGGGTGGACTGCGATGGGTGGCTCCTCAAGAAGAAGGACCACGTGGGCTTCATGGCCCAGAAGTGGAAGCGGTGCTGGTTTGTGCTCAAGGGCCACACGCTCTACTGGTACAACCACCCCAACGTGAGTGGGGGCACTGGGTACCCCCCCACCTGGGCAGCCGGGATTTCCTGGGGTGGTGCCGGACACGGCTGTCCCTGACCCCGCAGGATGAGAGGGCTGTGGGACTCATCAACGTGGCCACCTACAACCTGGAGAGCACGAGGGAGCAGAAGAAGAAATAGTGAGTGGGGTCTGTCTCACTTTCACCCCCAGCTGGTGGTGGGAGAGGGGGAGATGCTGTCCTAAGGCCACGTGCTGATGAGTGATGAGAACCACTGCATGTCCCCATGGGGCTGATGAGATCCCCACAGGCCTGCTGGGGTTTCTGTGGGGCTGATGAGATCCCCACAGGCCTGCTGGGGTTTCTGTGGGGCTGATGAGATCCCCACAGGGCTGCTGGGGTTTCTGTGGGGCTGATGAGATCCCCACAGGCCTGGCACCTTGCTGTGCCCACACTCTGAGCAAGGCCAGCACTGTTCCTGGTGTTATCTGGGATGAGGCTGATCTGGAGCTGGGTTGGGATGGGGGGCTGCAGTGCTGGGGAGGCTGGAGGGGGCTCGGGGCTGGCTCTGTGTCACCACAGCAGCCACCCCCTTGTCCTCAGTGTGTTCCAGCTGTGCCACCAGACATACAAGCCCTTTGTATTTGCTGCTGAAACCTTGGCTGACCTGAGCATGTGAGTAAGGGAGCCGATGATCAGCACTGGCCCCACCACCCTGGGCTGGCCAGGACCCTCCTCCCGCTGCTCTGTCCATCCTTTCCCTCCCCAGGTGGGTCAGTCGCCTGGTAACAGCCAAAACAAAGTACACACTGGCCCACCAGGCAGTCCCAGACAAGGAGGAAGGTAATGGGGCCATGCTGGGGTGGGGGCTGGGGTCGGTGGGAGGGGGTCCCCATGGGGTAGTGGTGCCTGGTGCCACAGCCCCGGTGTGGGACCGCTGGGAGCTTGGCCCATGATTTGGGGGAACGTGACAAACGCTCCCTGAGGGGTGGCTGGGATGATTCTCAGCCCTGGGAGGGAATTTCTGTCTTCTCCCATGGCCTCCAGACTGCTACAGTGAGACAGAAGCTGAGGATCCCGATGATGAGTCCCCCAGGCATGGATCCGACTCGGTGAGTGACCCTGGGGGACACTCTGGGGACAGAGGGACAGAGCTCCTTGTCTCACCTCCTTCCCCATCTCTCTCTCAGCTGAGGAAGAGGTTGCAGAACACCCCAGAGAAGGCGCAGCTCTCCCCAGCCAGCAGCACAGCCAGCAGCCCCCAGGGCAGCCCCCGGCCCTGCTCCCCCATGGGTAGGTGCTGGGGGGGGACACCCTGTCACCTTGTGTCCGTTTTGCCTGTGGTGTGCTGGGGGGTAGCTCGAGTTGTGTGTTGGGACAGGATGAAGGGAGCCTACAGGAAAGATGGAGAGGGATTTTTTTATGAGGGCACAGAGTGACAGGGCAAGGGGGGATGGATTTAAACTAAAAAGAGTATGTTTAGAGTGGACATTAGAAGAATGATCTTCCCTGTGTGAGTGGTGAGGCCCAGCACAGGGTGCCCAGAGCAGTTGTGGCTGCCCCTGGATCCCTGGAAGTGTCCAAGGCCAGGCTGGATGGAGCTTGGAGCAGCCTGGGATAGTGGAAGGTGTCCCTGTCCATGGCAGGGGTGGAACAGATAATCTTTAAGGTCCCTTCCAACCCCAGCCACCCCTTCAAGGCAGGATCATGCACAGGGGAGCCCTGCAGGGTCTCGGGGCTGCCCTCCTGCTCCAGTGCCCCTTCTCCTTGCCCAGAGCCCGCTGGGGAGGATCTGGAGAGCCTGATGCGGTGCCTGAGGCAGGGCGGGCTGTCCCTCATGGGGCAGCAGCGCTTCCTGACGCAGGAGCAGTGCCGAAAGTCCTTCCTGCGGCGCAACAAGAACCCGCACATCAACGAGAGGGTGCACGCCGTGCGGGCCCTGCAGAGCACGCTCAAGGTGGGACCCCGCAGCCCCCCAAGCACCCCCAATGCTCCCCTGCCCATGGGTGTCCCCCCAAAACGTGCATTGCTCCGGGTAGGCGAAGCTGGCGGAGCTGCAGGCCCTGGAGCAGCTGCTGGGAGAGGCCGCGCTCACCTCGGACACGTTCAGGCGCTGGAAGGAGGAGCACCAGGAGCTGTACCGGGAGCTGAGGGAGGGCTGGGCAGGGCAGCAAGGCCAGGGCCACGACCAGGGGGATGCTGGAGACCAGCAGAGCCCGCATGAAGAGGCAGCTGAGCCCTGACATCCCGCCAGGACCTGGTGTGGGTCGGTGCCCACAAGACTTGGAGCATGGGAGCACGGCGGGTGCTCTGTGCTGGGGGGCCTGAGCACATTTTGGAAGGCTCAGCCCCCACAGGGGCCATCCCACAGGGGAAGTGGCCTCTGTGGAAGTCTTAATTTTTCCCAGCTCGCCTTGCCTTGGCTGCAGGTTGGAAAGGGGCGGATTTTCCTGGGGAACGTGCCCCCGCTGTGGTGCTGCCAGCCGGCCCGGACACGGGCTCTTCTGCTGTAAATAAATGTGGTGACAGGGCCTGGTCGTGCCGTGGTTTTTTCTTGGCGCTGAAATCGTCAAATCATGGAATTGTTTAAGCTGGAAGAGACCTCCAAGATCATCGAGTCCAGCTGTAAAGGCGGTACTGCCGCGTTCACCACTAAGCCGCATCCCTAAGTGCCACATGCACATGTTTATGAACACTCCCAGGGATGGTGACTCAACCACTGCCCCGGGCAGCCTGTGCCAGTGCTTGACCACCTTTTCCGTGAAGAAATTCCTCCTGCCGTCCAACTTCACCCTCCCCTGGTGCAACTCGAGGCCGTTTGCTCTTGTCCTGTTGTTCCGCCTGCCAGGGCTTTGTGGAGATCGAGCCGGTCTCCCCGAACCCCATTTTATCCAGGCTGGACCCCGCCGGCTCCCTCAGCGCCCGCCCTACGGGTGCCGCCCGCGGCCAATTTTCCTCCGTCAGAGCCCGCCGCTCCCTGCACGGCGCGACGGGGGCGGGGACAGCGCTCATTAGAGCCAATGAGCCAGGGGTGGGGGCGTGGCAGACGCGTTCTATTGGCTGATACGCTGCTAAACCACGCCCCCTCCCTGGCTCCGCCCCCCACGCCGGTGGAGGTAACGGTCGCGGCGCGCGGGGGTGGCGGGAGAGGCGCGGCGGCGGCGGCAGGTGAGGGACGGACCCCGACCCCAGCCCCAAATCCCATCCCCGACCCACACCCAACACGGCACCGCCACCACTGCACCGCCACCGGGCACCGGCAGCGCCACTGCCACACCGCCACCGCGTCCCGGACCCTCCAGCCCTTCAGGGACCGGTCTCTGAGCTCCTCCTGGCCTTCCCCCTCAGCCCCTCAGGGATCGGTTCCCGCTTCTCTTCAGGGCCCACAGGACCGGCACCCGCTCCTCCGCCTTTTTTTCATCCGGTGCTGATGGACGGAGCCCCCACACCCAGGGACTGGCTCCCACCCTTAAGGACCGGGACCTCCAGCGCGTCAGAAATTTAGCTAAAATTAGACATATCTGCCTAAATTAACCATAATAAGTACTACATTTATGTAGAAGTGTTTAATTTCTTTGCTGAGTAAAATGCTGTTCATTATCCTCTCGTATTCCCAATGTTTCTCTTAGGTTGTATATGAATGTTTTCTAGGAATTAATGTCTTTGAGCTCTTTAAATCAGTTTAACAAAAATCTGTAGCAGCTGCTAATGGAGGACTGAATATATGTTTGTAGAGGCCTTGAATTTCCACTGTGTAGATGTAAATTGCACTTGCATTATCAGAGACAGGAAATTCACTGTCTGAAGCGCTCAGAGAAATAGATAAATTAACCCAAAACTCTGGACAGATAAAGATTGTTATTCATGGCACAGAAAGGCTGATTTTTGAAGGACTTTTTTCCTCATGTAGTTGCTCAGTGACCTCTACAGAGGGCAGAAATCATCTGGTTGAGAGTTAAGACTTTTGAAGAGAAATTTTTAGTCTTTGTAGACACAGATTCAGCATGCAGGTACTGTGGTGATAGGTAAAAACTCTAAATACCTGCCTTGGGGATAACAACTGAAAGGTGTTGCTGAATCCCTGGATAATGGTGCAAACAGGAATTCTCCTTTTTCAGGCATAAAGAAAACTTTAAAAGTTGTTTTGTTTTTTTTTAAAGAGTTGCTGCATGGAAAAATCAGATCTAATTGGGAGAAGCAGCTAATTAAATATTAAATGAGCAGCTGCTGTGTGTGTACCCTTTGCTTGGTTAGTGGGAACAGGGTGTGGATTATACTCAAAATAAGATTTTTATTCATTTATCCAGTTCTCTAGATAGATAAGATGGCTGCTCCTGAGAAAGATCCAAACCTGAGGCTCCTGCAGAAGAATCCATCAGGTAAGGACAGTCCTTTCTCCAAAGCCCTGTTGCTGTGGGATCCTGTTTCAGTTTCTCTAAGGAGACACGTGGCCCTCAGAAGATTCTCCACCAGAAGCTTTTTGTTAAAAAAAGGTCTTTTTTCCTACCCTTGCCTGCTTTTTCAGCAATCATTTGATAAGGAATTTCTCCCTTAAGCTGATAGCTGATGAATCTGGGAGAGTTCTTTAGAGTTAATGTAAAAATACCTCTTTAACTTGCCCAGTTTTGCTGTGCTGCTCTTTTTATTCAGGGCACCAGCTGGGTGTAACTTGACCAAACCAATCAATGGGAATATAATTTACAGCTTCTGCATTCTGACTTCCTCACCAAGATTGTTTTTCAGTCTCCTGTTGATATTATTTGACTTCCCTGTGCTTCCTGCCATTTCCTTTTGCAAAAGATATTTTTTTAACAGGAACACGGGGAGCGAGGCAAGGAGCAGTTTGGTGTTTGGAAGCACCAGTAATTACAAATGGCTTAATTAAAGCATAAATATCCCTGCTTTTTTCTCTCCAGACCCCAGCAGCTGTCAGAAGAGCAAGTTCTTGGAGACTGAGTGGAAGACTGTGAAGTCCCAGAGCCGCCTCAGCCGCTGGCCGAGCGTGGCCGAGAGCGGGGATGGGGGAATTGGCACCTCCTGCTCAGACAGCACCGAAGGTGATGGGCACCACTGGGTCAGAACGTAAAACCTGGAGGGCAAAACCTGTCAGAATGTCTGAAACTATTTAAAATCCAGATGTGTGGAATGTAACCAAGTGAGGAGGGGGCTGGCTGTTCCTCTGAGCTTGGTCATTGTCTTGCTGCAGTGCTTTTAACTGACTAAAAGCCACCTTGGTGACTTGCTGGTTCTTACTGTCCAGTGAGAGATTTATCAGCAAGTCTGTTGTGTGATTTTTAAAATATTTTTAAGGAAATAATTTGTAGGTGCCTTTGTGCAGAAGCGTTTGTCTGTGCAGTGTTAGAGCTGAGAATTCTGCAGGCTGGCCTTCAGCTGAGGCCCACTCTGAAATTTCTGGTCCCTGCAGTACTTTCCACCTGACTTTTTTATCTTCACTGATTCTTTTTTCAGTAATGAGGGACTTTGTGGCGCTCCTTAAAACACTTCACACATCTTTGTCTTCCAGGGAGCCTTTGGAACAGAGCTGTAGATCTCAATAATGTGCCAGTGAAATGGAGGCCGTTAGCAGGGCTGCCTGTTGGAAGTATTGCTAGAAATATTACACCAGCACGTGTTCAAGTGTTCCATCAGGCCTCTCTGAGGATAATAAAACACCCATTTGGCAGCTGGAGATGATTTCCCTTTGGGAAATGTCCCTTCTGAGCGCTGGTGATGTCACCGGGTGACCTGCAGCCCTGGCTGCTGCTGAGGCACGCTGAGCTCAGTACATTAATCAGAAATGTTGTTGTGAGGACCCTCAGCACACTCAAGGAACTGATTGCAGCACCCCCACGTGAGGTGCTGGTCAGGGAACTCTGGTTCCTGACAGTGACACCAGGGGATAAATTTAGGGGCTGTAAAAGGAAATGGTGCTGTCTCTTCTCTTTGCCAAGGTGAACGTGCCTGCAGCTCCTCAGTAGCATGATGTTCTCTGGAGTCCCCAGGCACAGCCAAGCAGTGGCTGAGAGATTTTCTGCCCTCACTGCTCATTTTTGATGAAAGGATCAAGTGCCTTTATTGTGACAGTTCTTCTGTAGCGTGATTTTGGTCTTTGCAGAGAGTGATTTGGGCTGTATTCAAATTGTAGTGTTTGTTTATTCATTGTGGCAGTGCTTGGAGGGTACAAACAGGTGGGAGGGTGACTTGTTAGAGCATCACGTGGGGATGGGCCTTTGGCCAAAGCTGTGAGGAAATCAAGTGTTCCTGGGAGAAACCTGGAATTTCTGCGACACAGAACGTCTCAGGACAACGAGTGGGCGCTTCAGTGTTTGCCTTTCTCAGCCCTTGCTGTTGCTGTATTGAAATCTGAGAGTTGCTAAGAATAACCCCGAGTTCCCTGCAGCCAGGTTTGGTGCCCCACTGGCAGGACGGGAGCTCAGCCTCACTTCCTGTGGCCGTAGGTGAGAGCCATTGCTCCAGCTCTAGGACGGGCTCTTGCCGGGGTGTCCTGGAGGAGCTGGAAGGTCAGATCCTCGGGGTCAGCGATGTTGGAGGCTCGTCATGGGCTCAGGGAAGGCTCCTCTTAGCTCTGCTCACGCTTGGGAGTTGCTGAGCCGTGGGACGGGCAGAGCAGGATCACGGGCTCAGTGTTCAGCTCAGTAAGTTTCAGCCTTTTTATTCAGTATCAAGGACTTGATTTCTAAACCTAGAGAAAGATAACATTATTGATTCAAGATTATTCTAAAAACAAGGATTAAAAATATGGATTAAGCTTGGATTTTTCCTGTGGTGGTAGGGAAAGGTCAGCAGGTTCCTGAAACTTGTAGTGAGGGGGAACAGGGGTGTGCCTGAGTCATGCTGCTGCTGCTGCTTTGGAGGACATGTTCAGTGGGAAAGGAACCGGTTTTAAAATCATTTTGGAAAGCTCACTGGAGGATTGTATTTTCAGGACTGTAATTACAGTACCCCTCTCCTTCTTCCCGCAGACTTCTGCAATTCCAGTAGCGGTTCCTCATTCCTTCCCATCAAAACCCAGGTGACCATTCCAACAGCCCACGTTATGCCTTCCACGCTGGGTGCCTCGCCCTCCAAGCTGTGCCCTGCAGGGAACCAGGGCTGCTCCCAGAGCTCTGCCGTGCCAGCCTCTGCCCCTGACCGCCCAGGGCTCGCCAGGAACGGGGACTTGAACGCCGGGAAGTCCTCTCAGGTGCCACCCAGGGACCTCCTGCGTCTCTACAGGCCTTCGGGGGAGAACGGCTGCGAGCGCTCCTGGCCTCCTGCTGCTGATCACACGAGGACAGAAGACGCCTGGAAGTTTGACACCCCTGCCATCGAGCAGACCCTTAACCAGTCTCTCTTTCTGGACAGTGTGTGCACTGACCCTCTGCACAGGTGCCAGAAGTTCAACCCAAGCTCTGAGGCAGGGAAGGACCATTACAAGGTGCTGCCAGAGAGCAAACAGGCGCCGGGGGCCAATGGAGCCTGCGAGCCCCGGGACGGGACGTGGCCTGGCGGGAGCAGGCTCATGCCAGCGGGACTCCAGGCCAACAATTTCTATTCAAAACCTGTAGTAGCTCCCCCAGCCCGAGCGTGGGTGCAGGAGGGCTGCACACTGCACCCCCACCAGGGAGTCTGTGAGCTCAGTGCCTGGAAACAGCAGCTGGACAAAGTGAGGCTGCAGGTGGAGCAGATGCAGGTAGGCAGCTGTGACTGTGTGAATTGGAAACC